TGATTTTCGTTTCCTACCCTCCATCACCACCAGAAGCCGACTCGGGCGTGTGTGATGTGGGTTTGTGGCTTGCGCAGTGTGAGTCCCACCTCACTCGCTCGTACTTTGATGCGACCAAACCAGCCCTTGCTTCCATTATAGGATAACATGTATATTGTCGCCCAGTCCTTGTTTTGCTTGCTGCTCCTCAGTCACTCATATGGCGCGCGCTGTTGGTCTTGCTGCCGTGTGTGCTGCTCTTTTTGCGCTGGGGCTCCTCGCTGCCGAGCGCTCCACCGCCATCCCCGTGCGTGTTGCGACGGATGCCACTGGTACGCACCCCCACCCCATATGCTGCATTGCGCTGTGCCTCTCTCTCTCTCTCTCTCTCTCTCTCTCTCTCGCTCTCGCTTTGTGACTCACGCTTTGCCGTCGGATCATTTGACTGACTTCACGCGAGGAAGCGGCCCCATTCGATCCATCCATCAGCCTCAAGTAGGCCTCGTCAGTGAAAATGACTCGCGACCAAGACTTTTCGGTGTGATGACGATATTTGAAACACCATCGTTTTCGCGCCACAATTGGCCGTTTCGTCAGCAAAGGCTTCGCGACCCTTTCCACGTAATGCAAGTGGCTTTCGTGCAGCACCTTGATACAGTGCAATAGCTGATCGGCTCTTTTATCACAGGCGCGACAATCGCAGCCATTTGGTTCAGCGAGAGATGGTCAGGGGCTCTTGGCAAGCGTTGTGAGGTGGTTTCGGGTTCGTTTCGAATCTTTAGACGGGCGACCGGATCTTGGTGCATCCGCCAGCGCCCGCTGCTCTGCCGTAGCTGGGATCCACCTACGCACAGTACGAGTCGATACACCAACTTGCTCGGCAATGTCAGCGAGCTTCAGGCCATTGCGGTGCAAAAGAGCAATCTGTTCTCGTTTCGCTTCGCGCTTGCTTTGCATGAGCTTTTTCAGGTTCTCTCGAATGGATTGAGTAGTATGAACGATTTTGGGTGGCATTGCAAAAAGAATGGAGTGGTTTGCGCGGAAAGAATGGGTTGAAAGCGAGGGCCAAGTTCGGACAAATCTTGAAAAACGAGCAGATCTCTCGTAAATGTGCAGTGGATCGGCAACTATCATCTTGATAAGGCACAGCTATGAATGTGGAAGAAGTTAAAGTAGGATTGAAATTGGTTGGACAATGGTGCTCGAGCTGCAGTCAGAAACCCAAAAAGTGACAAAACGTTTGTCAAGCACTGTACTCGACATCGTTGGGGTCATTCGTGACTTCGTCATACAGCTCGCGCTGTGTCTGATTCATATTCGCATACGTCAGCATTGGAAGTGTCTCGACGGAGGGGCAATCGATTTCAACGTCATGACACGCCGGGCGCAGTGTCAGTCAACGACGTCCGTTCTGGAGCTCATTTCGGGTGGGTACTTCTCACGAGTCGTCCCAGGTGCCACTACCTGCTTTGTGCACGCTTTGAGTGGCGAGATTGCTGTCCAGGTCGTTTCTTGTTCGGTTGGATTGGTGCCGACAACCTGCCCAAGCGTGTGTGTCAGGTCTCACGAATCGGCAGTGCTCGAGCCAAGTGCTGGGACGAAGGACTCGATCGTGCTCGAAGTGCACTGTGCTCAACATGCGCGCTTCATTCTGGTCGAGCTGACGCCGAGTTCATGAATCCTGTCGCAGAGCGTGAGTGAGCAGTTTTATCAAAGTGCAATGTATCCAAGTTAGCAAATGCTTGTTTCACCATTTCCAAAAGAGTTCGCCGGTGAGCAGTCTTTTGTTTTGCTGCATTGATTCAGCGTGCTTCCAAATGCTGTCGTACCAGAATATGACTAAAAAACAGCAACAGTTGTTTGACGAGGTCAAGGATGCGAGTCAACTGCTCGAGTAAGCAAAAGCTGAATTTATTAGAAGGTGTAAGCGTGTGTGTTGACGATTTGAAGCACAGCCTGTGCAAGCAACAGATTGGCAACGCAGAAGCGAAGGCGATTGCTGAAGCTATCAAAGTGAACACGACAATGACTGAGCTCGAGTAAGGCATCTCATGTTGACCGACACGTGTGAGTGGATGCTTCGTGCTCACTGGTGGAGGGGACGAGCAGTCTAAGTGGCAATCTGATTGCCGATGTTGGAGCGCGGGCGATTGCTGAGGCTGTCAGAGCGAACTGCGCTTTAACAGTGGTCGAGTAAGGCATCTGACGTTTACCCATGCATGTAGACGGGTGATCCAGCAAAGTGTAATTGAGCGTGCTCACTGATGGAAGCGAGTGGACAGTCTGACAGAGAATCGGATTGGCGATGCTGGAGCGCGGGCGATTGCTGAGACACTCAAAGTGAACAAGACCTTGATCGATCTTGAGTACGTCATCTCTCTTTGACTGGCGCATGTGAGTGGAGGATTGAAGCAGAGGGAATTTAGAGTTTCTCACTGAGGGATGGACAGTCTGAATGATAATCAGATTGGCGCTGCTGGAGCGCAAGCGATTGCTGATGGACTCAAAGTGAACAAGACGCTGATCGAGCTCTCGTAAGGCATCTTGCATTGGCTGTTGCGTGCCAATGGGTGATTCACTGCACAGAACAATGAGAGCACTCACTGATGGAGAGGACCGGACAGTTTGGCGAAGAATCCGATCGGCGATGATGGAGCACAGGCGATTGCTGATGCACTCAAGGTGAACACGACGCTGACTGAGCTCTAGTAAAGTCGCTCAAACTTACTAATGGATGCAAGTGGGTGGTTTCAGCAGAGACATGCAGAGTGCTCACTAATGGAGGGGACGGACAGTCTGTGGCAAAATCAGATTACCTGTACTGGAGCGCAGGCACTTGCTGAAGCACTCAAAGCGAACACGACGGTGACCGAGCTCGAGTAAGTCGCTCGTTTTGACAGAGGCATGTGAGTGGGTGATTTCCAGAGAGTAGATTCAGAGTGCTCACTGATGGATGGGATGAACAGTCTGGGTAAGAATCAGATTGGCGATGCGGGAGCGCGAGCGATCGCCGAGGCACTCAAAGTGAATGAGACGCTGACTGAGCTGTAGTAAGTAATGGGTTGTTTCAATATGCACTCACAAACGCTAGACTCATGCTACATTCTGCAATGTGACCGA